ATGATTATTCTTTTGGGAAAGTTGGTTATTTAATTAGAGAGATGAGATATTATGGATTAGATATCGATACTTCGTTGTGTTATTCTATTACTTTGAACATTATTGAAATTCATGGGCCGGCTGCGGCAGAGTTTATTTTGGAAAAATTGTTGGCGACTGGACTACGGATGGACTATAGATCACCATTCGCGATTATAAAAGGTTATGTACGACGTCAAGAAATGACTAATGCTAGTTTACTCTTTAAGAATATGCAATCATACGGGATTAAACCGGATCAAGATCTTTATGAAATGATAATTCGTGGATTTTTGAATCGAGGTGATGAACAGCTTGCTCGAAATTTTTATTTAGAGTTTGCTAAAAATACAAACAATAACATTCCTGAAGCTCTTTGGCCAAAGGAAAACTCTGATATCTCAATAGTCAATGAATTTCTAGAACTATGCTCGAAAAAGAAACTAAGATTCGGACTAGATCTGTATGAGCACATGAAAACGCTAGGATTTAAAGGAGACTCGGTGACACACACTATCTTAATTAGTTCATTCATTGGTGGGAATTTTGATGAAAAAAATCTCGAGAAACTAATTTCAATATACGACTATGCATCCGCCGCAAACATACAATTTCCATTAGCTATTTATAATAATCTATTGAATATTTTTATTAAAAAGAACAATTATCCGTACACGAAAAAAGTATTAGAGGATATGCACCGTGCGAATCTCGTGCCTGATGCTTTTACTTTAAGCATATTATTGAAAGGATCTGTTGCTTTCTCAGACGTTAATTTATTCAAATCCTTATATCAAAAGACAAAGTCGATTCCCGAGCTCAATTCAAATCTGGTAATTTGTAATGGATTTATCTTTGGATTCTGTAAATTCGGTGAAATGGAATTAGCGATACAAGTATTCGACCGTTTACAAGCTATGAAAATCAAGCCGGATCGGATAACCTACAATACTCTAATACGAGGTTATATAAAAGAAAATGATATTGATGAGGCGCGTCGCTATTTCTATAGAATGATCGACTCAGGTATACGACCACCAATGACTGCCTTTCATTCGCTGATCTACGGCTACCTCGATTCGTCTCAACCTCAGGAGGCGATAGAGATATTTAATCAATTTGCCGAAAATTACGAACAAGTAGAATTCGATTTACCCGCCTATCGAACAATTTATCAGGGCGTCATTGAAGCGAGTCTTAAAATGTCAACCCCAACTCTCGCACAAAAACTTCTGACAAAATTGTCAAAACAACAAAATCCACTGAACTGTTTCTCGTACATTATTCTGAAATGTATACGACGGAATAGTTTAGAATGTGCTTATTACATTTTTCAATTTATGTTGTCACGACGGATTGATGTGAGTCTTTTCGTGGGACAATCGCTTTTGGAGGCTTTTGGAAAGAAAACAGATTTTCCGATAGTTTGGCAGATATATTGCTATCTACGGCACCGTTATTTTAAGAGGAATCGATGCCGTTTGAATCTACAAGTATACAATACAGTAATTAAATGTTCGTCAGTCACGAGACATCAACAATTTGCTGAACAGGTATTCACAAATTTATTACAAGCCGGGCTCAAACCCACTATTGAAACTTTGAACGCCTTAATATCCGGCCTCGTGAAACGACGAAAATATGAGGAAATGCAAAATATCATAAAGAAGATGCTTGAAAATTATAGCATACCTCCGAATGTCGATACATTCAACATGATAATAAAATCAATAGTACGCCGCGGTCGGATGGAAGAAGCTTATTCAAAATTAGACAAGATGAAACAGCTCAATATTAAACCTGATATAAAGACATTTCATATACTCTTGAGTGGATTCATATGGAAACGTACATGGAGTGTAGCTGCATATGCATACGAACAATTATTAAAGGAATATTCGTTCGAGCCAGATATGCGGACAGTAAGCATTTTATGTGGAAGATTGATCACTCAACGATATACGTCATTACCCAAATTACGCGAACTATACGATTGGTTTCATGAACGTGGGAAGGACGCGTTAATTAAAGACGATAGATTTAATCCTTGGAGAGAAAAAAACTCGTATGATTCGAATATCTTGTTATCTAAAAAGGTGATATTACAACAATACCAAGAATCATCCTACGATCCAATTGATCAGGACATATTTAGGTTACTTTATCGAATAACGCGAAATTTCCGCGTCAAAAAAATATTTTCATCAAAACTTCGTGATATACGGGATAAAGAATTGACGTTATCATCATCATCATCATCCTCCTCCTCCTCCTCCTCCTCCTCATCATCTACGAGTAGTAATAGTGGTTCATCATCTTTCAATGAGATCGTCGACCTATTTATCAGGAAAAGTGGTAAAAAAGATCCGCTAATGGAGAAAATGCAATTGACACGAACCACTTACATGATGTTTCTAAAAGCATTCTGGAAGCATGGTGATATGCAAGCAGTAAAACATGTTTATGCGGATATGAAGATGCGAGTTAATTAACCAAATATAGACTTGTTAATTTATACCCGATTTTCTTTCTGCATGTTAAATCAGTCCCATTGTAACGGGCCCTCACGTTCATTGAAATTCCGTGTACGCCTCGATTAGTAAAAAACTGATAATACGCAGATCGACAGATCACCAGCCTAAAGATTATCAGCGCTACATATTTGTACATTTATTCTCTAACAGTGATCAAACTGGAATCTAACAATCCCAAAGATCACAATACGGTGCAGTTTGATACTTTTTAAGAATATTGCTGCAAGAAATACAAAAATATAAATTCTGCTTTATTACCAACTTTCTGAAATAATACAGAAACCACTTTTCATTTTCTCTATTGATAATCCGCATTACAAATCAATTAGTTTTCCAGTGGATATCTAACCTTAAGAGTTCACTTCAAAATATATATATATTAGTCAACCCAAGAAAACTTATGCAGCGAAACTGGAGTGATTTGATCAAATGCATATCCTTTCTTGTGGTGGGCTTTCTCACTTTGATCTACTTTTCTAGTACGCTTCTTCCCTCAAATTCAAAGCTTACCGCAAGCACAAAAAAAACCAAAGAACAAGACATAAACGTTAAAGACTACTTTGAAACAACACTTTCACTACGTCAGATTTATCACCATGGCTCAATCAAATACCCAAATTTGGTGCGTCGTCTCGACATCGACGAGAAACACTTGAATGCACTTACATTATCGTCAGGAACACAGTTCACGCATACAGTTCGCGGTGTAATGGGGACAACTATGAAACCGCGTAACGCTAGTAAAATTAAAGAGTATCGAAAACGAAATAGATATGACGAATTTTCACTAGACATAGATTATGGCCGTAAGCCAACGCTTGTGCCCAAAATGACCGACAAGGAAACGGTGATTGCTCTTGCTAAGATGACTTATAATGCATATATCCCCATCGGTAGCGATGATTGGTACGATTTGGGGAAAAAGTATGAATTGGTGAGTTTCTCTTCAGGCTTTTTTGATTAATGAGGAGAGAATGAATTTTAGTATTTTCTCGTACGAACTTTTTTAAACTAGATTATTACTATTATTACTTTTATTTATTCAATAATTGCTCTAATGTTTTACGTATGCTTCTTACTTTATAGAGTGAGCCGTTTGGATGGGAAGATGATGGCATTAGAGGTCACGTGTTTGCTGACAAAGATAATAAGACTGTAATCATCGCAATTAAGGGAACAAGCATGATAGGGGGTGGCCCAACCGTGCCAAAGGATAAGAAAAATGTAAACATTCTTCTTTTTTTTTAGTCTCATTATTTTCAATTGATTTATTGATTTGCAAATTATAGGATAATCGACTTTTCTCATGTTGCTGTGCACGAGTTGGACCAACGTGGACTCCAGTATGTGATTGTTTTAGGGGGAATAACCGATGCGATCTAAGATGCGTGGAAAAAAGTGTAGACGAAGATGACCTCTATTTTGATACAGCAACGGTTAATATCCAAATTTTTAGTCTTTTTTAATTTTGATCTGACAAATAAGACACTAAAGTATTATATATATAAATAGAGATTTTGGGAATTGATTCAAGACAATTATCCAAACTCGGAGGTATGGCTTACTGGTCATTCGCTTGGTGGGGCATTATCCGGGCTGATTGGCTGGACTTTTGGAGTTCCCGTTGTTGGATATGAAGCACCTGGAGAACGGATGCCTGCTCGACGCTTACATTTACCTGGACCGCCAGCTTTGAAATATGAAGATATGCCAATTTGGCATGTTGGACATACTGCTGATCCGATATTTATGGGCGCTTGTAATGTGAGTTAAGTTTTTTAATTTTTTTGTGCAAGTCGGTTAATTTATTTTATTTATTTAACATGTTATGGGTTATTTCAGGGTGTTTCGAGTAGTTGCTGGTTGGGTGGATACGCGGTAAGCAATATATTAATTCTGTCAACGATGATACGTGTTCAAGCTTAAAAATAATCGATTTGATTTTTTCTTTAGATGGAAAGTAAATGCCACACCGGAAAAGTTTGTCTATATGATGTGGTTGAAAGACTAGGCTGGAAATTGGACATTCGTACACACCGTGCAAAAGATGTTATTGAGAAAGTGCTAACTATATGGGATGGTGTCCCAGAATGTAAACCGGAAGAGAACTGTGAAGATTGTGGGTGGTGGCAATTTATTGACCAATAAATACATGATTTGCAATTTGGTTGATGAAATATTTCGAGAATTAGGTTATTTTCTGGATACCAGTGATGCCAATGGCTAATTATTTTTTGGAGGGAAACTCTTAATTTGGTAGTTGATGTAAAGAAAGAGAAGAGGTGGGTGTATTTGTATAGTATTAGAAAAATAGAAATATTTTGAGGAAGACAATTATTATTCATTATTCATCTTATTTTATTACAAAGCTTTTAGTTATATATTCTATAAACGTACTATATTTCTGATATTTCAATGTATTATTAAAAAAAAAACAATTTATTTTTGAAATTATTTCTGTAGATTTTTTAGATATATACGTGTCGAATAATCATTCTTCATTAGTAAAAAAGGACATTTTTAATGCTTAATTTAGTGTTCTTAGGATCATGAGCTGTTTTTAATTATTACGGTTACTGTTTATTAGATTATTCAATTTATTATTAATTAATATCATCGAAATTCTTAATTATTATGAATTATTATTATTGAAATTCATATTCTTTAACCATTCTTTATCATTTGGCATATCAACTTCACATTCTATCCACTCCCACCGTTTCCATGGATGAGGTAATCTCAATTTATATGCTTGTAATGCGAGATACTTATTTTCATCATACTGTTTACGTTTCCCGACCAGATCTTCGTAAACTTCGTCCCCAAGAATCGGGCACCCAGATTCAGCAAAGTGTAGACGAATTTGGTGAGTTCGCCCGGTGTGCAAATAAATATCGTATAGGCCAATTTTTTGATGACTATTAGGATCATGACCATCCCCATCTTTATGATTTGGTGAGTTCCTACTACTATCTTTGCTTCCGTAGTCTGTGTGATCTTCATTCGATGTATCAGAGCGGTCTGCCAAAGAGAATACATCGTTTAACCAAAATTCTGTGATACTTAATTTTGCTGCGGGGCTGAATGGCGGAGCGGAGTGAAAGAAGTATGCGTTTTTAAGTTGAGTTTGAACAAGATCAAAGGTTAATTTCTGTTTATAGAAGTTTACAAACGTCAGCTTAAATGGGTTTATTGGCGGAGGTGGATGAGATGGGTGACCCTTTGGTGCTGGTGATGGAATTTTGAATGTGATTTCCGAGAGATCGGTGACCAAGTCCGTCCATGGTTGACGTGGACTAAAATCCGGACGAATTATCGGTGGACATCTGATTTGTATAAGATGGGAATAATAAGTATATTGTTGATTACAGGATAAGTAAACGATTCTCGTATAATAGAGAAACCTTTTAATCCAACTAGTAATTTTTCCGTGTTTGACCAATTGACCGTTCGGCGCAATCAACGATCCTTGTTGATATAACGATTGTCTCGGAAGTCGCGTCATATCCAATGGAATCTTCACTAGAGCTCGATACCATTTCTGCCAGAAACCATTCGCGAGCGTGTCTGATAAAATACGTGCAATATTTTTCTCGAATGCCAACACAAGTGGACCCTTTTAAAAGAAATTAATTTATAATTTAATCAAATAAATATGAGAAGGTCGATCATTGATTAACAATCTTATTGTTAATGACACGTTAATTACACCTGCGTGTTTTTGTCAAGCCTTTTATTGTTTAGAAATTTAATTAATGGTGAATCAAAGAAAGAAGATGCTTTGTCTCGGGTTGATAGTTCACGTGGTCTTAGATACTCTAACCTACCGATGCACCGCAAACGCTTGCCTCCCATAAAGGTTTTGTATTGTACAAATTAGAGAAGCACGTGATGGATTATTATCTTGCACAGCCATACCTAAAATCAAAATTTAAACTTCGTCAATTTTTCGTTATTTTATTTTTTCGATTGAATTAGTCTCAACCTGGTGGCTTATAGCATACGCAAAATGGATCTTGCCATGTTCCATAGAGCAACCGAATCTCTTTTATTTCTGAGCGATCTATGGTGGCATTTGGCGATGTAGAAAAATGTAAAGACGACGAAGACGATAACGATGATTTGTACAACAATTGAAATTGTTTTCGGAATTTTAATAGCTGGCTTTTTCGTGGGTGACTTGACGTGCACGTGTAATGAATCATTACTTGATTTTAGCATAAATCAATAGATTCAACTGATCGAATAACCGAATAAATTCAATTTTATATCTTGCCCGAAATATGTTTATATTTTCTCAATTAACTTTACAGTCACACGCAAAAGTGTTTTTTCCGAAGATCTACAGAGGATATTATTTTCCAAGGAGACGGTGTCGAAAATATGGGTTAGAAAACTTAATCAAATAAGTACTGACATTATTATTATGAAAGATAATTAAGAAATGCAAATTATTTATAAAGATCAATAAAAATAACTAATTTTCATTAAAAAAAATCAAAACTCACTTATTTTTATTGTATTTTTCATATTTTTTAATTAGATATTGAATACTTTTATTAATTTAAACTTAAATATTCAAATCTCTTCAAAAATTAATATAATATTAATATGATGTGAATGGCCTAAATCCATCAAGTACTTTGAACTGCAAAGGCTCTACATATAAACATGTAATCACAAAAATAAATGTATTGCTAGATAGTCTTGGATAAGATCTATAAAGTAATGTATTTTTTTTATAAAATATATTAGTAATTTATTGAGTAGTTAGAATTTTTCTTTGGTCACTTCTAATAGAATCTAATATGAAATTAGAGAAATTTTTAGTACTGAAGATTTTTTTCTGATTAGACAGAGCTCATGTATTATCACATGAATAAGATGATTAATTTTTATAATATAATAAACAAGAAAAAGCATACTTGATAATATTATTGATTTATTTAAAAATCATTGATTATTTTTTATTTAAAGAGAGAAAAGAAGAGATATTTGCTTACTAAACTTTTCAAACTCTTTTTTGCTAAACTAATTAAATAGTTAAACTAGCTTGATTATTTCATATAGTCAAACTCTTCCAAAATACTAGCAGAAACTCTATAATATAATCTATACTTTTTCATGACAAAGACAATAGCTTTACTTAAAAGATCTTATTCATGAGTATTTATATATTAAGCAAATTAATGTATATAATGACAAATCTTGATCAAAATAATTAATTTTAATATTTATAAAATAATTTTCTTAAGATTCTTGAAAGAGTAATCATAATGCAGATACAAGTATTACTTTATCTCTCCAAAATGATTCAATAAAATTAAGCTTGTAATAAAACTTTAAGTAAAAAATATACATATAATCAGCTGCTTTAATAATCTCTTGCAGATGATTCTGTTAAGATGCAAAATTAGATTATTAATCAAGAATATTAGTTATATAATATTATGTTTTTATTAAATTAAAAATATATAATTTGTAAGTATCATATTCTTTCATTAAATCTTTTACCTACAGGTCATACTTTTTAAGAATTCATCAGATATTTTTTGATTTGATTCCATTATCAGCATTAATAAATATTAGAATGTGATAAAAATTATCAGGTATCTTGTCATCATAAAAAAGTGATTATTTATTGCTATTCTTCAAATTTATTTATAAAATAATCAGAATATTATCAGTATATATATTATAATTATAACTGTTATCAAATATAAAAAATATAACTTTGCCAAAATATATTCTCTCAAAAATTAAAATAGCTTTATTAATTACTTATTTTATAAGATCTTAATTTATTTACCAGCTATCTTAATTAGAATCTAAATATATAATAACACAGATCTCAATATGTAAAAGTTAATTATCATTAGGAAGTAAGTTATTCATAGCTTGATTCTTTGTTAAAAGATAAAAATATCTAATTAATTTATAAATAAAATTACTTATATAAATATTAAGATTTTGTAACTTGTATCAGAGCTAATTTTCTTTTATTAGATCTTAGATCTTAATGATATTATCATTAATATAAAAAATCAATTTATCATAGATAATCAGAATAAGCTTAAGAATATTAAATAAAAGTATTAGCAAGATAATTTAATTCATATTCTCTTTCTTATATATTGCAATTTGTAATTATAAATTTACTATTTATTTTAAAAATTAGTTTTAATAAGTTATCATATTATCACACTCATAACTAAAAATGGCTCCTCAATTATTTATTTAAATTTTAATAGTTGTAGTTTTTGTTGGTAGTTGTAACATATATGCTGCAATTAGCCATAATTACATCATCAATAACATCATCAGTTTTAGTTAATCAAATTTTAGATATTATATTATTATATAATTTTAAATAAATAACTTTAATTTTAAATA